TATACTCTTCTAATGAATCAAACATTTTCTGTAAATCATCTGGTGATTCAGATAAGATAGCCATGTCATCTGCATACATCAGTAAAAAAAGGTTGTTAGTTTGGGTTTCTATTGATGTCTTTTTTTTAATTTTTTTTTTATAAAATCAATTTCTAAATTATCAACAAATAAGGTAAATAAAAGGGGAGTATAACTAACAAGTTTACCAAGACAATTTACTAGGGTAATACCCCCCCATTTTTACTCTAAATTGAGTCCTATCACTAAATTTCCTTCCTGTCTTCGATCAAGGCTTTAATAAATGCAAAACCAAATGCTAGGACAACACGAACTAATATTAAAGTAGATCAGATAGTCATACAATGTAATATGATGTGTAGAACAGAAAAGACAGATATAAGCAGTTGTTTTCCTCCAATGTAGTTCATCAGTTGGCTCTAATATTTCTCATTCTAAATGTGTGTTAAGGCTTTTGTAGGATTTAGGAACGGTAAACGGTATTCGCCCTAACGGAGCTCTTCAGGCGGTAAGAGGTTGGGATTACAAGTCATAGTGATTTACAAAAGTTACGTCCCTTCCCATATATATATATATGTTTCATTTCTTTCTCGGTGATCCGCCGACAGGAAGTGTAGACATTGCACCACAACGAAGTTGATGTACATTGTTGATAAAATGCAACGTGACTTTTCCAAATAAAGGTTTATATTTTTTTAGTAAAAGAAGCACGATGTATTGTAAATAAAGATGCGGAGAAATTTTTACATATGTGCATATTTATATATCTATATATGTATATCTTTACATATTTATATATGTATATATATCTATACATGTTATGTATTAATATATTATATATTCATATATGTATATATTTATATCATATGTCTATATAATGGACTTCAGAGTAAATAGTTTCATGCATTGTAGGAATATTTAACGTTGGAATCGTGTGTATGTTGAAAGCTATATGTTTTTTTTATCTATTTTTTAATATACTCTGGTAATCGTAATCCAAACTTAAATTCCATAAAACTAGGACAACCAAACCGGAAGGTTCAACATACGAATGTACTTAATACGATCTTTGTTCATTTTCTTTTTAGAGTAAAAAGTACAGCATATTATATCCAGATAAATTCGTTTTGATGTGCAGTTCGCAATATTATTCCACAATATACCGTTATTTAGTCAGAAATTATGGAAATCAAAATGCAATACATTTTGAGAAAGTGTAATAGTCTTCCTTACCACCTGTGGTTAATATAGACAAACTATTTATTTTATGTGGAAGAAGGTCCTTTAAAATTCAAAATATAATAATTTAAAGTTAATGTGATTAGACGAGACCTTAAGTGTACTGGTTTGGCTCGGAATCGGAAGTAATGCTAGTGAATGGAGGACTACCATGATATGAAAACATCGTGAAAAGTACGGAATCCTTCAATAATCAAAAACAAGAATAACAAAGCAGTACCTACCTGGGAACAAAACCATAATACAAGCTCAAATTCATTAAAATTTTGGCAAACTATTCACTAGAGAAATATCTAATTGGGATCTTGCTGGTTGTCAGTGGTGTAGTCTTAGTGTCATTACGATAATTTCAATTAAATACAGAAAATCATCTCATGATGTGTTAAAATGACATCAATTGATACTCACCAGTTTATCACGCTTACATGTTCATTGTGTATGTAACGGTCTCCTCACCTAGCCGACAGGATGGAGTCAATGTGCATCATGGATGCAAACCGGAAGTTGGTGCGCGGAAACATTCTCACTAATCTTGTTCTAATAATGAAATTTGATATCAACAATTATTGCTGATTTAGATTACTTCTGATGTTTTTAGACAAACACTTGTATGTTCTTACAAGTACAATAGTTCTGTATAGGTTTATGACTAATTTCAAATCACACGTGGAGTGATCTAAATATTTTTATTTTTCCATGTGAGTTGGTTGATGGTTTTCTATAAGATCTTGATCTTCGAACCCTGCAATAAAAAAAAATATTGAAAGATTATTTCGTAATGGATATTTCTATAAAATTTTATCAAATCCTCTGTAGAAATGAAACTACGAAAGTGATGACATCAAGCCTTGTGTGTGCAGGACGAATGATTATAACATAGATAGTGATCTGGTAGAGTAAACCAAACAAAAGGAAAGGACGCCGGTGTTAGCTTTAAGGAAGTTATCTCATTCTTCCGTAATGGAAGTAAAAGTTATGCCAGTCACATGACCGTTTCAATCTATTGTGACGATTGTGCTTGAGTAGGAGTGTTGAGTGATCAGCAGTTTTTGTTGTTTACATTGTGTACTTCTTGTACTTATAAGATATTATACAGGGAACAGTACATATCAATAGGGATTTTTTTCTTGCAGACAGTGTTATCTGATGTGCATTTGACAGAAGTTCTGATTTTATATGACTTTTATTGTTAGCAAGTAGCTTAACACAGGCTGCGCCGCCATCTTTGATTGTAGACTATTTAAGTGTCCGGAATCCAGATTATAGATTTCTTCCTTGTAAGTGTCAAAACTAGTATGTAATTTCATTCAGTGACCAAACTTGCAATAATTTTTCTGTTTAACTTCAATCGTATATGAGATACGAACTTGCAGCTTATACAGCTAATTATAAAGACATTTTCAGCCTGCTCAGTTGTGCTGTTCCCGCTTCCTTTGTAATTTATAAATAAGGCACAGAAGCCATATTGTTTACAAGTTCGTGTGGATTCTAAAATCTAAGTAAATTATTGATTATAAAAAATCAATGGTAGCATTTTCTGTCAATTTTCAGTACTATTTTTGTGATTCTGACGGCATGAAATTGATGACGAAAGTTCTCATATGGAAATTTGGAGCTTCAGAGTGTGTAAATAGCGGAGCAGTTTTCGCAGAACTACAAATGACGTATTACTGCGCCTCGAAGATGCAAGGCACACTGTACAGTGTTTTAAGCAGTTACTTCCCTTGTATTAATAGTGAAATCGATTCATTGATCAATTTTGTAAAACTTATGTCCGAATCAAAGGAAAAATATACGGAGGACGTAATACAAAACAAAAAAAAACAAAAAAACGGTCGAATTTTTTGGCTGACAATATCTTCGTCGAGTTTGGTAGTAAGATCTTCCAATAGACCAATGGGAACCAACTGCACACCTCTGTTGTTTTTGTTTTCATACGAGGCTGAATTTATTGAAGAGCTTATCAATACAGGTGACAAAGACCTTGAAAAGCCGTTTAATTTCACCTCCAGGTATACTGTCGATGTCTTTAGATAACAAGAAATTAACTGACTACGTCACAAGTATATATCCCCCAGAACTGGAAATCAAAGACACGACAGACTCTTCTACATCAGCTGCTTATTTCGATCTTTTCCTACAACGAAACCAACATAGACATCTTTCTATCAAGCTATATGATAAACGTGATGATTTAAATTTCCTTACTGTGAATTTTCCATTTCTGGATAGCAGTTTCCCCGCATCTTCAACCTGTGGTATTTACATGTCATAGCTGATTCGATCTTCAAGGGCTTGTTCCCATTATCAAGATTTTCGTGCAAGAAGTCGTCAACTTACTGACAACCTCGTAACACAAAGGTTCAAAAGATACAGGTTGATAAAAAATTATGGGGAAGTTTTTTGGTCAACATATTGATCTCATTGAGAACTATTCTAATTTTTGCGAGACATGAAGCTGGACATATTTGATGTTCGTTGGTTTGGCTGTTGATTCCGTTGTTGTACATGTATACCTTATTCTCATTTGAGACATTACTTACTTGAGTGACCCAAGGTTAAAATGGTGGATGTCGTCGATGAAGCATAAGACGTTTACTTTTCCGGAACACTTGGTCTTATTCTTCTTGTGCCTTTTCAGGAGTCTGCGGGTAAATCTTTCTTTAGTTTTTATTTTACCCTCGTTTTATGGAATTTTAGTTTGAATTATGATTATGTTGCCATGTTGGTATTTTCTTGATTTTTTTTCCACCAACAGTTATTTAATATTGGCTTGTGAATCTATCACAAAATCTTTGGCTGTAATCTCGGTATTGAGGAATTGATGATTTGATCAATTCCATGATTTTTTTAAAATATTGTCTGATGATTTTTTTTACAAGAACTGTGATTGCAATAGAGAAATTTCAATAATAATAACATCTTTTATGAAAAAAAACAAAACAAAACAAAAAAAAACCAGCTTACCGTTTAGCCCTACCTTAGTAACAACACCTTTCACAAATTAAGCGTTAATTGTTATTTGATTGAGGCAACCTGTAATGACATTACAACGTTTACAAACAAAGTTAGGGTCGACAACACCAACGCTACTTCTTCATCTAGTGTACTACATAGGCCCTATACAAGACTATTGGAGTAAAGGGGTTCTGTTGAACTTGTGAACTACGAAGTACATGTTTATTACTATGGTAATGTCGAGACTCCATAAACTACAGTTTTTGTTCATGATTATGGCACGTTAGGGGCTCCATAGCACGCACGTACTAAACAGAATGAGAATTTTAATAGCACTGTCGGAGATGTGTAGTACTTTGTCGGTATATAATAATACTACGATCAGCTAAATTTCCATTCAATAATGAGGTTTAGATATCAGACGACAAGTGATTACAAATAACTTGAATCATGTATAGAAAATGTATTTTGTTCAAATTTAAGGGTGATCGGGTGGCGCAGTGGTAACGCACTCATTTTCACCTAACCGTCCGGGGTTCGATTCCCGGTATGAACATGTAAAGGTTAGGGGTCATCTGCCCGACCACGTGGGGTTTCCCCGGGTACTCCGTTTTCCTCCCACAATAAGACCCCTTGCGCACTTACATCCGGGCCAACAAGAGTGATTAGTATATGTTAAAATAACTTGTTTCATATTTGTTGTAAAATAAATAAAGTTTATATTTTTGTTTAATTTAAACATTGGTCACACAATTCTTATTATTTCCAAATAAACAAAGACGACATGGCGTTTTGTTGATTTTATTGAAAATGGCAACTATTGAAACAACTGATAAATTTGTCTTTATTAGATATGATGGTAAGTAATTTCGATCACTGTCGCTAATTCCAACAAGCGACTAAATACACAGATATCATCATCACCTCTAACGGACTTAATATATACCAAGACGACCATAAAAGATAACACTGCAGTTCAATATTTAATATTGTGAATATTTGAAGTATCGGGGTATGAATATTGATTTAAATAGTGCCAATATTCACTCTTAACCTTTGTATTAGATTGTGTAACTACGATTTGCGAACGTTTTGTCTAGCCGTTTGTCTTTGAATGGTATACTGGGATTTCCTTCCCGGGACCATTCGGTGAACACCCGTAATTGCCTCCTGACGGAAGTGTTTACTTACAAAACAATACAATATGGGATTAATGGCGCTATTTAAGAAATAACTTCGCAAGAAAAAATGTCGTACAGCTTTTTCTGTTGTAGAAGTTTGTTTGGCTTCGATTTGGAATGTCCGCAAGAATGCCAGTACCAAATATGGCATGAAAGACAGGATGAACACGAGGGTCACAAGAAATAACATGGTGTTTGTTCTACCAGCTGTACCCGGGGCAGAAGAGGTACTATTGAGTCGCAGAGTATTACGTCTACCAAGTTCAATGCTCCGTTTCCTTTCAGAATGTGGTTTAACCGATGCTGGATCCACGCGACGAAATGAATTGTGACTCAATAGTACACTTTTCCCGACAAATGAGTAAAGTACACCTAGAATCACGTCACTTAAAACATGCGCAAAAGACAAAACTATTAATAGAACCTCTTGGTAGATAATATCCAAGCCGTCTCGTGGGAGACATAATTTCCCTTGGTACACAAGTCTTTGAGTGTCTGTTTCGACTTCTCTCAGAAATTGTGTTTTTGTTCCGTAAAAGAGCACAAATGGTATTCCTGTTAAACACCCAAATAACATCGAACAAATCACAATTATTTTTGCCGTGGACATCTTCATTTTCTTTTTTAGTGGATAACGAATTTTTCTAAATCTGTCAATAGCAATACTAAGCAATATAATGGTTGTTGAATGATTACAGAATGAAGTGACAAATCGGCTGATCTTGCATATTGTTGGGTAGTTGAATTTGAGGAAATTCCGAAGAATGACAAGCTCAGTCGATATTGAAAATAAACAGTTGATTAAGTCTAGAACTGCTAATGTTAAAATAAAAGTTCGGGAAACAGTACGTTTACTTTTAAATCCATAGACATACACGACTAGACCATTTCCGGGAATTCCGACAGCCAAAAGTACGCATGCGTAGATGAACGATGGGAGTAAAACTGTAGAAAAATATTCGTCATTTATAGCATCGATATATGGGCCGGATGTTATATAGATATTGATTAAATCTGACGTATTTCCGGTGACGTTTGTAGGTGATGGCACTACAGACGTGCTAAGGTATGTGCTATCGCTGTAGAATGTGTCCATCGACGTATACGTTGTGAATGTTGCATTCTTCATTTCTTCGTCCATGTTTGCAGGCACAACAGCCTACAAAAACAATAATGGTGTTATTGATACATTATATCTGAGATTGTAAGAATATAATTTTCTTAGCAGTGAAGTGAATTTCATTTAGATAAATTCATTCTATCCGTTCTTCCATGTGCACGTATGTACCCGGTATTTGTGCTTGTGTGTGTGTGTGTGTGTGTGTGTGTGTGTGTGTGTGTGTGTGTGTGTGTGTGTGTGTGTGTGTGTGTGTGTGTGTGTGTGTGTGTGTGTGTGTGTGTGTGTGTGTGTGTGTGTGTGAGGGTGTGTGTGTGTGGGGTGTGTGTGTGTGTGTGTATTAAAATGTAAAATGACTATATGTTATTGTTATTGTCTGTGAAAATATGAAAAAAAAAATGAAAAATTGAAAAATGAATAAATAAATGGCTCGCTTAATTGATTCATGATATGCAAGTGTTTAACCTATTAAGAAAATGCAAGCATGCTTATATTATCGTAAAACTTGTTATAATTTATAAGATACATTTTAGTTCAGCTGTTGAAATCCGTCAGCACCCATCCCTGTTTTATAGTACCAAAACAATCCTAAAAAAATATGCCCGGCTCGTTCTGACATCTTTTGGATGTATATTACATCATTGTAAAGATACTATCTTCGTGTGGGTTACAGAGTAACGGTATCGTGCTACAGTAACAGTGTTTTACTGCGAGGAGGGACTGTGCTTTGTATAAGGAGAGAGACTGGTTCGAGAGGTAAAAGGTACATTTTATACACACTTCATCTGTTTGGAACTTATGGATTCTATTGAAATTTAGTCTTGCGATAAAGGGGAATCAGTTTTGTATAAACAATAGAAATTGACCCGCCATGGGATTAATGTTGGAGAAAAACAGGGGAAATATAACAAAAATGTTCAGCTCTGTCTCCATTATGATTTTATCCGTGTCATTTAAACTTATTTCCTTGTGACAAAACAGAACGAACCATTTTAATCAATACAGGCCCTATTGATCTCTTGTTACCATTTTAAATCTTTTAAACTGTTACTTGTAAATTTCAATGCAATATATTTTTTCATGTGACGTTTTTACGTAGATATACAGATCAATGTTAACTTTTAGATTGATTTTTGTCATCCTATCAAAGTTCAATAACAAGTTAGTGATAATTACCTCTCACCCCAAATCAATCATTCTCCTTTCAGACATTTTCCATGCTAAGAGCATGGATAACACTGATCAAACAATAAGTAAATACAATGTTTGTAACGGACGGTTTTTAGTGCCATTACAGAACGAAGTTGCTTGATTGAAGACAAAGTCTTGAATGTCTGGAAACTCTTTTCGTGTATTCTATTGTTTTAAGATACAGTAAAGTAAACTCCGTAGTGTTACCACTGACTTTAAGTCCCCGAGGTTTGCCTTAACCTGCATGTCACGTTTTAATTCATTCGAATATTTGTATGATTGAGAATATACACACGTACTTGACGCTGATCTAAAAGTATCTGATATTTGAAAACTACGAATTATATTGAAGTATAGGGCTGCTGCACTTCCCGTCTAGATTTTGACTTTTCCTTACATCATCTGCGATTTTCCTTAATCATTCGTAGGCTTCAAAATGTAGGCCCTTAATATCACTGAGGAGTCCTAGAAGGACGAAATTGCTTTATGATGCAGTTCAATCAATAATTTCGCTCTACTAAATTATTAAAAGGTACTATTCTCTTGTGTGTCTTTTGTACAATTTTTCAATATGTTAAATTACAACTTTCACCATCTCAAGGAAGCTGACAGCATTGAAATGACAACAAAACGGACATGTAAACTGTGTTTGATATATGAAATATATTTAAGAGGCTATGCATATGGTGATATTGTGTGCATTGTATACAACTTAGTCGTGACAACACCGGATGTCCGTTCTCAAGTATTGGATAAGTAACTTAATAAATACTCCAGGGAGGATAGGTTTGTTCTACGCGTCCACAAGGTCTATACAATACATACGAGTTAGTTGACGGAGTACAGACGATAACAGACGTAGGCTAAATTAAGAAAAATACCATCATGGGTATTCAAGGAACCACTCACATATATTTTGTATTACGTAAATATGTCCATGGATATCTCGACTTTGCTACAGCAGCAATGCAATTCTGTAGATTTTACATGTCATTGATCCCCAATGCTAGACTCCTTAATCACAATTATTCATTAAGCAACCTGTACACCACGTTTAAAATCATACGAATAATTGAACAGTTCAGAATATGCACTAGTACTTGGTGTTCTTTTGATATTATCAGATACATAAAACTACGGAATTCAATTATTTGTCTTGTGCGTCTTCTTATCCAAAACTTGACATTTCCATCTACCAATACGGAATATCCTCTGGCGTTTACATTGCTTCCACATTTAGGCCCGCAGCATCACTGACGAGTCCTTAAAAGACGAGAGAGCTGTATGATAGAGTTTGATAAATTGTTTGGCTCTACTGTATCCAACTCTAAATTTGTATTCATTTGTGTGCCTTTTGTACAGTCCATCAGTGATAATTGACAAATAACAAATAATATGATATAAACATATTTACTAGCTACGTTATTGTTGAACCTCAATCCGACTTCCCGTAGATATTTGACTCACTCGCCTGCTAGTCCCGAGGTTTCTGTAACCTGCAGTGACATGGTTCACCATATATACGGGAAAAAAGTTCGAAACAGCAAGAACTTCGATTCATAAAAGTTCGAGTCATAAATGTGAAATTAGTAGTATTATATAGGGGAAAAAATCGGGACTTGGCAAAAAATTCGAAACATCGAGAAATTCGAATCATCGAAGTTTTACTGTATCAAATTGACGAATGACGGAATTTTCCCTCATTTGCTCCTATTTTTTAAATTTTAGGCCCGTCTCATCACAGACAAATCCTAGAAGGAGGAACTAGTTATATAATGCAGTTTAATTCATTATTTTGTGTATCCTTTATCTAATACTAAATTTGTATTTAACGGCGTTATTCACTTGTGTCTTCTGGACAATCTTCCATACATCAGGTCCCTACCATCACTGACGAGCCTTAGAAGAATGAACCAACCGTGTGATACACTTATTATTATTATTTGTTAATTGGCAACGTTTTATTGAATCGCGTGATTGAAGTGTGATAGATGGGTGACAGTTCATGAACCTTATAATTATACCAGAGTTACCTCCCCCTGCTTAACGCGGTATTGTAACAACTGGTTCGCACGTTGTCAGTATAATGTCACCAGATGTGGGTATCCTGCTGGTGTGTGGTTGGGTGGGATGGGGGAGGGGGGTTTAACTATAAATTCGACTTCACTTTCGCACTATCACAAGGGGAAACATAAATCACACGCCAAGAACTATCTTAAATGACAAAAACTGATGATAGGACGCTAAAACAATATTTTTATATAAAAAAATAATATTTCCCTGTTAATATTTAATTGTTATTTATATGTTTTGAGTATTGATCTTGATTGCTATATCATCCTATTGTTTATTTACAGCTGTTATTAATGTATAAAGCTGCTACCACCGAGGTCTGTAAACAGAAACTTGTTTTTGATTTTGTATTGCGTTTAGAGTTAAACAACACCAGACACCCACAAAAATTCCTACATCAGGCTCAGATTAAGACTATTAAAACCTTTTAATCAATTTGGATGTGAAACACCATATTATGTTCCATAGTTCTATAGAAATTTAATGATCGGAATATAAGAGATACAGACACTATAAAAGACTCACCAAACATACATTAAACCGGAGTTATTCTGGCGTAATGTTGTGACTTACATAAAACGAACACCTGAAATGAATTGGCGTTTTTTCATCGACAGATTTATTTTTTCATAAACAACACTATCTTTAACTGCATTTAGTCATACTTACGGTACACCCAACCTTTAGTCTACACGTTAAGTGTTTTTCAACGACGTATTACATTTTGAAAACTTATCGAGCCACCTGAATCGGAAATATTTACTTTCACTACATAAAAATGTAAGATATTGCGAGATGAAACATTATAAAACAGACAAACTTGATATAGATCAATTCAGGTATAAACTTATCACTTCTGACAGTTGTGAGATGTTCGTCACGGGTTTTTTATCATGTCTGTAGTGTTCTGCCAGCATTTCCGCCTCGCAAAACCGAGAACCCATTACTTCTTATTTTCTTAGAGGCACGACGTGAAATTACATTTCACAGTATGTAGTATCAACATATCGTGTTTGTAGAAGTAGATGGATAAACCTGATATTTCTATGTTAAGATTCATAGATTAAAGTATTATAAACTTTTAAAAATATTTTCCATGGCTAAAGAAACCATTGAACCAGACGTTGAAACGCCATATCGTCATATGCGAGATCATTCAGATCAAAGAATTTTATTTTTTTTTAATTTTCAAATTTTTTACCTTTATGGCCGAAATGTTCGCCTTAATATTTTGATGTACATGTAGATTTCTTTTTTATTTGCTCGTAATAGTTTTAGATCTTGTATAATATCCTTTGTTTTCTAATCGGGATAATTGTCAATCCCCTCCTCCCGCCCCGAACCTGTTTATAATCGTCAACTAGAATTTTATGTCAAAATTTGGAATTATTTAAAAGAAGCATCTTACTACTTTTTTTCTGTTCACATTACAACAACATCTCCATTTCAAATTCCTGTGTTACAGGCTACGTTACTAAATATAGCTGAGGCAAGTTTTTAACATTTGTACATGTACGTACATAAAAAGACAACACGTGCCTCTGTCACATTTTGTATTTCTGTCTCTTGTGATTTATCACGTTTAAAGTTAATTATCATTAGATATAAATCTGAGCATGTCATTGGTGCAGACATGTGCATCTTACAAAAACAAGAAATGTTCCAAAACCAAAAATATGTTGGTATTGTTGACGATATGCTGAGGGTCAGTGGAGTAAGAAAACACGATAATGACAGCCTCATCGAACACTTCAAAAGGTCTAATCCTTCAGCCCATGTTTTGTTTAAATGAAAACCAAAGATGACAGGCAATTTTAAATGATAACTTTAACATACTCGGAGATTCATTTAATAGACTAAAGTTATTGACGAAAGAATTTAAGCTGGTAAGATTCCCGTAATTTAGTAAACTGAATAACGATAATAATGATGATAATAATAATAATATAATGATGATAAGTGTTTGTACCCAACCATGCATATCGAACATATTGTAATAGTCTCTGTATAAGACAATATCATTATTTTAACAATTCATAACTTTACAACAAAATGGATGAGATTAAATAAAAGTACTTGCCTTGGCTGTGATGTGTAATGTCATCACCATACAATAACACTGGTGTTGTCGATCCGTGCACGCTTAAGTTTCTACTGATGGTTAATACCCCGTAACAGCGTGGCTATAAATGGCCCACAAGGCATAGTCTAAATATCGGAATAGCGTCATCATTTCATGCTGTGTGAAGATTTCGCGACAGAGCCAGTGTAAATTCGATTGCGTTAAATGATACTAAATATTACAGGAATGATAATTTATCAGGATGTTCGGTGTGGAATATTGTCCGGTAATGTTTATACTGAATGTGGTCACGTGATCATCCGTGGACTCCGTCTTCGTGTGACCTCCTGTAACCTACTACAAGTTTATGAAATGTCGACTTAATGATAACCCTCAATGATTTGACATTTTCTTTTTGCCTTTATGCTGATGGGATATTGAAAATTTGCACTAAATAGCCTTTAATAATAATTCTAGACAAAATATTAGTGATGTAACTATCTGCCTGCAGGATGCATTTGGAAGTATTTTAATCCGATGGAACACAGGGTAAATTGCTTGAACATGTGTTTACGAACAAGCTACTGACTGATCCAATGAATTTATGATCCCATAAACAAAATAAATTGTTAATACTTATGTGTACACTATATGCTTTTAACAATTACGTTTCAACGGTTGGATACAAATATTCACCAGGTGTAATCTGCGTCCTAACTTATTTTTAGTAACCATCCTTGCACAACAACCATTTACAAAAACCAATGACACACAATTTAAGCACGCCCACTTTCTCCATGACAACAAAAGGTAAGTTCCTTCCCCTAAATAAAATTATTCACTTAAAACGAAATTGCATATAACTATTGGAATGATAGATAATCATTTACACGTGTTTGTGTTTGTTTGTTTGTAATCTTTGTCACGTATTTTGCAGAAATAATTCCGGTTAATATATAAATACATTCATACCTCGTGGTTATTGTCGTGATTGAGATATAAACTTCAGACTTTCTCATACTTGGGTTATCGGTTTCTGTATGATAACATTATACATTTTCATCAGGAATTCGCAGCTTCCCAGAAAACACATTCATTCATCTCACATAACATTAGGACATTAAGCTACACTTCGCATTGTAACATTATGACAATATGTGAAAGAGATGTGCAATATATCTATACGTAAAAAGTAACTATGAATTGAATTTGTTTTATATAGATAGTGAGCTCTGCTCGTAAAATGGCGTTTTAAGACATCAAGCAGTTGATGGTACATGTACATATGTCTAGGTGGGGCGCATTGCCTTGCCTGTCGCTGTACCATTTGTGTGGCGGTTCAACCATCTGACATTGATCTATGATGAATTGTAGAGTCTTCGTGTGACTTAAACTCTTAGGAAGATTTATCACCTGAAAAAACAAACTAAGTAATGATGCATTCTTAATGTATGTAAGTTATGTTAAGAATACAAGATATTTATGTCTTTACCTGGTAAAATTCCAAAGCTGTTAAGAGGACGTTAAACAATTTAATATAAATTCTGATATTTTATATCACTGAGTTTAGTCCACATCTCTTGTGATGACAGTCGTTATCATAACAAGTATTAATATAATGTCATTATTTCACAATTGAAAACATTTAAAACTAACACCCACATTCACCATATCATGTATAAGATACCGGGCAATGTAATGAGATATCACTGAGGTATATTTGTGAAACAAACACACTGTAAATACAAATCAGAAAGAATTTGATGGTGATAGAAAGGTGTTCTTAATCAATTTAACTTATCAACTGCCGGTTGTCAGTAATCTGCGGTTTTAATATCAAATTAATGTCTTTTTTGTTTTTTGTGTGTGTGTGTGTTTTTTTTTTTTTTTTTTTGCTCTTCTTAATAGCAGTTAACTAGGATTCGGAGAATTTTTTTCTTTTGAAATTATCTGACGTTTGAAAATCAAGAAATTTATTAAATTGTGGGGCAGGTACCCTTCACCGTCTAGGTTTTAGCTTTTTTTTATCAATATAAAAACCTGTTCGTTTTCAGAAGTTAAGCCCTCAGCATCAGTGACGAGTCCTGGAAGACAAAACATGGTGCAGTTTAATTCATTATTTGGACCAACCATATCTATTTATAAATGTTACTGTAGTATACTGTTACTGTAGTATGACATTCACGTGTGTCTTTTGTACAATCCTTGTAACTGATTAGTCAATAGAGTACGCAAATATGCTACAAAATATAAAGTGTTGAATGTCTGCTGTCTCTTCTCCTTTTCCCAGGATGCAACAGCATATGAACACATTTAAAACAGAAAACCGTTTTTTTTGGACACCGTCATCAGAGAAGCTGTAGAAAAATAAACATACGATTCGATCAAATGATAATGTGGAGTGATGTTGTTGTGTATAACATGATTTATTAGTTTAAGTGATAAAACGTTATCACAAACATGGATTAATTCATGTAAAAAAACCAAACAAAAACAAAAAACAAAAACCTGATAACTTTTCAGCATTGTTTACAATTTACTGATGATACATTTTTTTTTTCTGTTTCTAGTTAAAATCTGTATTGAAAAATACTTTCCACTTGTGTACAATTTGTATATTAAAGAGTCTTTGTTGCGAGGTTTAACTCGTGGCATTAGGGTCCTATGTAAAGGTGACGAGACTGACTGTTTAAGCTTTGTAAGGTTCTGTGGATGGTTGCAGCTGTTTTCTATCTGAAAGTATTTACTGCCATTTCGTAAACGGTCCAATATGCTGACACTTGACATGTGGACATTATTACAGATGGGAACTACAGGCCATTTAGACCTCTTGTTTACTTTTATAACTCTCTAGAAGAGAAAATTATATACTGATATAGCCAGTAAATCTAATAAAATTTTGAGTGAATGTCCATGTTGGGAATGACGAAATGCTGTAATAGGGAAACTGAAGTCAATTCTGAAAGTGTCACGTGAGGGTTAATGGGATATTGTCGTTGAGTTAATTGTGAGAAGACAGGAAGGTCAACGTTGTACATAAAGGACCAGATGTTTAGGTAACAGGTTAGCTCGGACTATTGTAAACACGATCAGCTTTGGTAAAGGAAACATCGTATATCTTTATTGCATTTTTCAAAACGAAAATATTTTCAAATTTACTTTTGATATTATGTTAGTAAATATTCTTACACTTTAGATGATCTTGGCAAATTTCTTTCAAAAACGTTGTCACTAAATTATAACGATTGAATGTAGAGATACTAATTGTGGGTAACTAACCAGGCTTTGCGCACGTGTTATCAGAATTGATTCCCATTGATTCTCAGAACCCTTCCAGTCTACAGAGATAATTCTAGGTATAGATATCTTTATACTATGCGATCGCTGACAAAAAGTACGGTCAGCTTAACTAACTCACTATAACAATTGCTAGGTTAACCCAACCCCGTCTTAATGTCCGATAATTTACTGCGTGCTAACAACCTGTATTTAATCTATATAAAATCCACAGACAACACGTTTATAAATAAAGATTTTGTAGAATCTGATCTTAACAGAAAACATTCTTGATTGTCTTGTAAAGCAAACGATGCTGAAAGAAACGAATTCCAGGAAAATATGACGCTCCAAGAATTTGATAAAAATCCCACAATATTCTAGTAATGGGACGACATATATGGAAGAAGGCCTTCAAAATGCCACGCCTATCTTAGTATGAATTCTCGAAATCTTTCTTGCGATTCTATAGAAAACGATTCATTCACTTAAAACATGTTTTTTAAACAGTTGAGGTGTATGTGAGTATAGAGAAGTGCATCTCAAGCCCTGTTTACCAACAACAACTGACAGACATATAAATAGAAATGGTAGCTGCTACAAGCAAACACCATTACATTTCACGTGAAATTTATCTCGAACGGCTTTGAAGGTGAAGGTTTAAATAAGAGTGTCGGAATTCTCTTCAACAAAACCAGACGTCACAGATAAACATTGAAGAATCTCGGTCACACGAGAAGGTGTGTCCCACCTGCAATACATTCCAAGTATTTCGATGATGGCATTTATTATTATTTTTTTTGTCAGTTTGCCCTCCGCAGTAGCCCGCACCTCTCTCTCTCTCTCTCTCTCTCTCTCTCTCTCTCTCTCTCTCTCTCTCTCTCTCTCTCTCTCTCTCTCTCTCTCTCTGTATATATATATAATGAAAATATCAACAGCTCAGTGTCAGGTTCAATATATGAGAATAATAATGCACATCGTGTTTCTGATTATTATTCTCATATATATATATCCCCCTCTCTCTCTCTCTCCTCCTCTCTCTCTCTCTCTCTCTCTCTCTCTCTCTCTCTCTCTCTCTCTCTCTCTCTCTCTCTCTCTCTCTCTCTCTCTCTCTCTCTCTCTCTCTCTCTCTCTCTCTCTCTCTCTCTCTCTCTCTCTCTCTCTCTCTCTCTCTCTCTCTCTCTCTCTCTCTCTTTCTCTCTCACCGCTATTGGACCCACTTACATCTATGTCAATATAATCTCGTACATAGGCGAATCAACCCAATTCCTCACACAACCTGTGGAATTCGAGGTGAGATAAAGATCACCAATTTGGACAACATACAGGAGACTGATATACGTATGCCCGTCTTGCCAATTTTCTGCCACCATCTTATTTTTATAATTTTACTTAAGATAATTTTTTAATTATCATGAGAAGTACGAAATGTTTTAAAATAACAATTGTATATTGGAATTATTGTTTCTTTAAAGATGGAAATGAGTTTGTAGTTTACTGATTATTTCGCAATTAATAAACTTCAGAATCAATTTGAGATTCAATTTCCGGCGATAATGAACATTATATGGCAGTCCGTGTTCGGCAACACATAACGGAAGTGTGCGTCCTGTTGAGTGTTAATAGGATTCTGATAGCATCAAATTTGTCATAATTACTTTATCATACCATCAATGATATTGCCATCCGCTAGGTGTTGGATATCGCTCATTACAGATACGTGAAACAGATCAATTGATAACGACGGTATAAAGAGGAATAAAGGAATAAAAATATATGTAGTTTCACGTTAATAGAAAAAAAATCGTCAGGAA